GGGCCCTGGTACCAGAATCTTCTTGTGCAGCCGCTGGCAGCTGGGGCAGGCCGGGGCCAGGCCCCTCTGCTTCACCTCGTCCACCAGCGGGGTCAGGGCGCGCTCCAACAGCTGCTGCAGGGACTCCGTGGACAGCTGCTGCCCCTGGCTGCGGGGGGTGGGGGGTCAGCAGGTGAAAGAGACCTGGCACCAACTCCGTTCCCAGGACGCCTGCCGCCCACCCTCCCCCCGGGGCCCCTTTCCGCAGCCTGGGAGTTCCCACAAAGCCTGGGAGTCCCACTCCCCAAGGGCACCGATGGCCCTCAGTTCATCAAAAGCTCAGACTTCCCACGATGGACTGGTTCCATCGGATCCCACCTCGTATTGGAAGCCCTCCCCCTTCCAAATAGGACCCGAACATGGTGTCCCTGGGCGCTCTGATAAACCAGGGTCTCGCCTCCCCACCATGCACCCATAAACCCAGCCTCATAGGTCAGTGCTCAACCACTGATCCACACTGGCTGGGCTCATGGAGCTTTTCATTTGTGAACTTTTCTGTTTATATTATACTTTGAGTAAAAGCTTAAAATAGCACTACTGTGGCAGTTTAAAAATATGCCCACAAATTGACAGTCTCTTTAAAATATGTCTGCAAATGCTCTGACACACCCCCTGAGTAAGATTTGGATTCAATTCCAAGGAACATAAAAAGGGGAAATGATACCATGTGACTTGGGAGCCTAGGTCACCAAAGTCACTTGTTCTCTCTCAGACTGCTGCTCTGGGAGAAGCGAGCTGGCATGAGAAGCTGAGCCCCCGGCCAGCAGCCATGAGAGCGAGTCTTCCCGCCCCAGTCGTGCCTTCAGATGACTGCAGCCCCAGCTCCCATCCTGCAAACTCGTGAGGACCCTGAGCCAGAGCCATCCAGCTAAGCTACTCCCAGATTCCTGGCCTTCAGAAATTGTGAGATCATACACAGCTATTGCTTTGAGCAGCTACGTTTTGGGGATAATTCTTTGCACAGCAATAGGCAAGGACCTAGGAAAAATCACCCTAAAGAAAGGTTGGTTGACTGACGCACAGACTGCATCCTAGAACCTTCTTTTACCCCCTATCTTCTTTCCAAAGACCTGGCCCATCATCGGCGTCTCTCTGGGATGGAGACGCCTGTGAGCCGAGGACCGCATGGTGTGCATCCAAATTACTGACCATCTTTCGGTGCCAACAAGGAGACAGAGTTCATGCCAGCATGAGGGGCCGTTTATTGTTCTGGGTTTGAGCCCCCACGTTTGGGGGGAGCCCCCCCACTACTTCCTCCTCCCATTGTCCCCGTGGACCCCTCAAGTGGCAGGTTGCTGAGCTGGTCATGGAGGGAGCACATCTTCAAGTGCAGATAGTCCAGGGAGGCCACCTTCTCCCTGCAACGACAGGCAGCGGGCGGTCGGTGCTGCTGGGCCCGGCTGCCCCGGGGCTGGTGGAGGGGGAGACAC